GTTCACTGTTATCGTTTATAAGTTTACAAAATTGATATTTATGTAGATGATTGTTTGCATGATCTATTGATTTATAGAGATTTTATCAGAAGGGATTGTGTGGAGATTTTAGAAGTTTCACTGATTGAAATCATGAATCCATTGAAGCTAGACCACTATGGAAAACCTGGAAACACTGGACGGTCGTTTCGTCCTAGTATGAGACTCCTCAGCAGTGCGTATCTACGATCGCGCTCCTCGCAAGATTTGGACCCAGGATCAATCAGTCTCGCGCTAGGCGCTTAACCAACTAGACCACTGAGCCAGCCATCCATTGGTGTTAATGTCTAATTTCATCCAATCCACGAAGTTGCACCACCGTACACCATTACAAAGTTACAAAATGAAAAACTTTTATAAGATAACTAACCCTAATAAACGCCTTAGTTAGAATAAAAGGTATAATCATGTTCATAGATTAGATTGTATTGATTGTGATGTGTTCTAGAATTGAGACTCTTCCCGTGAAATCTCGATTCGTACCAAGAAACACTTAAGTTACACAAAAAGACTTCTTAATAATCTTGTAATATTGGAAGATTTACAGGTTAAATCATCAATAGCAGTACATACACTTTTCAATAATCACCAAATTGTATCAAAAACAATTCCAAAAAGCATTTCCAATTATAAAAAGAGGTGAGGAACCTAAGCGTTATACATAAATACTACTAAATCCTTCTACTCTCATTAGGAAAGAAAGCCTGAATATTCATTCAACTTGAACTGTTGATCTAAACAATCACGATTGACATAGTTTATTTCCCATACAATCTACACACACACATGTACACACATCTGTTGGCCGGACACTATCAGCAACAAGCTACTGTAGAAGACAACAAACCAAATTCCAGCGGAGGAAGAATTCAATAAGAAGCACTGGAAGTGAATAGAACACACATTGAGGAAAGCACTGAACTGGGTCACAAATCAAATCTTCACTTGGAACCCTCATGGCTAAAGAAAAAAGGAAGACCAAAGAATACAGACATGAGAAGAATGAATAACAATTAGATAGAACTAGAAAGGAAGGCGCGGAACAGTGTAGGTTCGAGAATGCTGGTTGTCGGTCTATGCTTCATTGGAAGTAACCGGCGTAAATACGTAAGTAGGTGAAATTTTTCAAGGTCATTTTAGCGTTACACGAACATCGTCCATAAATTATATTCATCTTCAGACTCACAATTTAAAATAAAAACACAAGGTGACAGGTCATACAAATGTAAAAGTGATCATGAAACAAGTAGTATATTTTAATCTTAAAATTATTACTTACTTATAAGTAGTATAATTATAATTATAAAATTCGTATCGGAAGGGGTTTTTGTCGAGATTGTAGTAATTACAATAGTTGAGATCATAAGTTCATTGAATCTAGATCACCATGAAGGATGTACTAAGTTTGATGTTTTCAACAAGGTAACATTATAAGCTAATCATACTAGTAAAACATTGAAACAGATAAAAACTTATAAAGATTTCATTGTTATTCAACTCATTAAAATTGTTCTTAATTGAATTAGAAGACTCCAAATCATAAAAGACAATAATGATAAACTATCATAATTAAATGTTTAACAACATTTATATGATGTTAGCCAAGGTTGTTTACTCTCAATCTTTCTCTTTCAATTGGTAATCTACGAGATTATGATGATATCAATATCTGGAGGAATCATAGGATACAGTGAAAAACTGCGATAGAACTGAACGACCTAGATTTCACAGATCATCTGGCTCTTCTATCACAAACGCAAGAAAAAATACAAGAGAAGTTGACTAGTGTGGCAGTGACCTCACCAGCAGTAGGTCTCAACATACACAAAGTGAAAAGCAAGTTCCTTCGATGCAACACTACATGCATCAATCAAATCACACTTGACGGTGATGTTTTAGAGGATGTAAAAACCTTTACATATCTGGGAAGGTGGGTATGATACAGATGTGAAGACGTGGATCGGCAAAAAAAGAGCAGAATATCTACAATCGAAGAACGTGTAGAATTTAAAACAACTCTCAACCAACTCCAAAGTCAGAATTTTCAATACAAATGTCAAGACAGTTCTACCATATGAAGCGGGAACTTGGAGAACTACGAAAGTCATCATCCAAAAGATATAAGTGATTATCATCAGTTGTCCACGTTAAATACTTCAGATCCGTTGGAAAAACACAATCAATAATAACCTTTTGTAGTAGAGAACAATCCAGATTCCATTGGAAGGAAGAAACCAAGAATAAGCGCTGGAAGCGGATCGGACACATATTGAGGAAAGCATCGAATTACATTACAAGGCAAGGCCAACGGAGACGAGGAAGACCAGAGAACTCATGACGTTGGGAAAAGGAGACAAACATGAGAAAAATGAAAGACAATTTTATAGAACTAGAAAGGAAGACGCAGGACAGAGTGGGTCGGAGAGTGCTTGTGGGTGACCTATGTTCCTCCATGAGGAGTAACAGGTAAGTTTATTAAGACTGAAAACAAACATTCCGATTTATAAAATAAAATAATTCTAATAGTTGAGTTAGTGAGTTCATTGAAGCTAGACAACCATGGAAGACCTAGAAGCATTGTACTGTCGTTTTATCCAATTATTGTTCTCCTCAACATTGTGAACCAACGACCCCATACTTGAGACTCAAATTTAGGACCTTCAAACTTATACATGAATGCATCCAACGGTGTTAATGTTTTAACTTTAACTAATCTACGAAATTTTCACACCGTCCACCATTTTCTTGAGTGAATAAATATCTTACAACAGACATAGTTGTAATCTTTTGGTCACAGTTTCTTACTAGAACTCTAGGAAGTCAGTCACTAATAAGCACAGGATGATTATAATCATAAAAGAGATTTTGTCAAACTCATAAATCGATTAAATCTTCATCACCATAGAAAATCTAGAAGCATTGGACAGCTATTTCGTTCTTATTAGTGATGTACACTGTTGAGAAGTCTCATACTACAATGAAATAATCATTCAATACTTTCAAGTTTTCAATGGTAATCTATTCATGATATCCATTTAAACTTAATATACTTCATAACTTTATACTGATAGTTATTTATCTTTCTTTTTTTTTTTCAACAATTTGGAATTCATATTGTCTACATAGTTGTCGTAGATTAACTCCTAGACAATACAAAAATGTATGTATTATAATATATAATGAAAGAATGAAAGGATTCAAGTAATGTACATATATATAGCAATCTATCACTTAACATATCTATGGCAACTATCATCTTGAATAGAATACCATTCATTACAATTCATTATTAAGCATTATATCTATGGTAAAGTTTACAAATTAAATATTTATTATAAACAAGGTTATGTGATTTGTACTATTATCTAATGTTGTAATAATGTTTATTTATAAAGTATAACGAATACATCAAACAATGAAATAGATGATCAATAATGTTTACAATGTTCTTTGATGTTCGGTAAACTAATTAAATAGTAGTAGTAGTAGTAGTAGTAGTAGTGTGGTGTGTGCTACTTATGTAGACATAAGTAGTATATGATGTTAGTCGTGAACAGAATGTCGGACATCAGAGAGACAAGAAGATCGAACAAAAAAAGAATGAAAACAGAATGCAATTAGTGTGAAAATGCAAGAACAAAGGGATTCTGAGTCATTTGAGACAATTGATGAACAATTTGAAAATGAACAATTTAATATATGGTTGTTGGATTTTAATAACTATTTCTGTAATCTGTTTTCAAATACATTCACTTATTCCCCACACTTGGTCTCGTTCGCTACAGTAGTAGTAGTAGTAGTAGTAGTAGTAGTCGTAGTAGTAGTAGTAGTCGTAGTAGTAGTAGTAGTAGTAGAAGTAGTCGTAGGTGTAGTAGTAGTAGTAGTAGTCGTAGTAGTAGTAGTAGTAGTAGTAGTAGTCGTAGGTGTAGTAGTAGTAGTACTCGTAGGTGTAGTAGTAGTAGTAGTAGTCGTAGTAGTCGTAGGTGTAGTAGTAGTAGTAGTAGTAGTAGTCGTAGTAGACGTAGGTGTAGTAGTAGTAGTGGTAGTAGTAGTAGTCGTAGGTGTAGTAGTAGTAGTGGTAGTAGTAGTAGTCGTAGGTGTAGTAGAAGTAGTAGTGGTAGTAGTAGTAGTCGTAGGTGTAGTAGAAGTAGTAGTGGTAGTAGTAGTAGTAGTGGTAGGTGTAGTAGTCGTAGTAGTCGTAGGTGTAGTAGTAGTAGTAGTCGTAGTAGTCGTAGGTGTAGTAGTAGTAGTAGTCGTAGTAGTCGTAGGTGTAGTAGAAGTAGTAGTGGTAGTAGTAGTAGTAGTGGTAGGTGTAGTAGTCGTAGGTGTAGTAGTAGTAGTAGTAATTCTTCCAGGTTTAGCTTCAATTGACTAATGATTTCAACTATTGAAATTACTAAAATCTTCACAAAACCCTTTCTGTCAATTCATTCATTTGTTATTATTTACTTGAATTATCCGATTGATGTTTAGAACTACAATGAATCAGTCTCTTATTAGCATATGTGTATTCTATGTGAATTATGTAGATATTATCTTAAGTCACAAACATTATAACTTTAAATAAATAGTGATTAGCAATAGAATCTAGTTTAACGTACATTTCGTCCCATTTTTTTTTGGACTCATCAATTGAATCTATCTATATAACAGAGTTGTTATTCACTCTAGAACTTAAACTATCTACATCAATAACATACATCACATATAATCATTATCAAGTCAATATGATATCATATCACATAAAACAACCTTCTATAAGAAGTATCTTATTGTCCGATTATAATTAAATATATAATAAGCTTGAATAATATGATCATGATTATGTCTTTATATTCTATGTCAATATGTCTTATGATTTAACCAATTATAGATCACGGTTATCTTCTTATATGAAGTAATATAATAATAATAATAATAATAATAAAAGAAGAACACAAAAGTGTTGTGTAGAATCTCTATGATGTTGAATTCTCTGTTTCTTCTTCTTCCTCTTCCTCTTCCTCTTCATCATCATCATCATCATCTTCTTCTTCTTCTTCGTATCAGTTCATTTATATTGATGGTACATTCTTCCATACAAAATAGTAAGTTATTATATAACTTATCATAAATATATATATTGAAATGTATAAGTTGAATAGTTAATTATTTAAACAAAACAGTATAAAGGTTTATAAGCAAAGATGAATAGTATTGAGCAATGGAATTCAGTTTGATACGCGTTTCATCCTATTTGGGACTCGTCAGTTGAATTTACCTACATTTGGAACTCGAACCCAGTACCATTCGCTTCAAACATTATCGCATTATCCATTCAGCTAATGAGTTCTGATAGTCATTTACTTGTTTATTGGAATGAATTTGAATTCACTTGATATTGTTTGATTTGTATCTTCCCATTGATGTTTAGCACTGCAATTGATCAGTCTGTCATATTGGCATATATGTGCATACTGTACGTATTGCCTCAATATTACCTTAATTCACAAGTTATTTATATGCAATGATTGATAGTGACTAGTAGTGGAATCCAAGACACGCGTTTTATCCTATTTGGGACTTGTCAACTGGAATTGACCTACATCTTAGAGTTAATGTTTCATCTGCTTATAATACTTGTAAATTAAGACAATATCGAGGCAATACAATAGGAGACAAAACCAAGACAGAAAGGTAAACAATGACAAATTTAAGGTCAATAAAAACCAATCAACATCGAGGTGTACAGAACAAGCTGTGAAACACATATGGAGAAATTCGTACACTTCACTTCTATCTGAAGTTTGTGCTGATGATGTCGTTCAGAAGAAGAACGATGAAAGCTCCACGACCAAACCATCCAGCTCAAAGAACAAAACTCCATCAAAAACATACAGTATGCACATATACCACTATGAGAGACTGATCAATTGCAGTCTTATTTATTTATTTATTTATTTATTTTAACACATAAGTATAGGTACAGGGAGGCACCAAATACATATGCGCCACACGAATCTCATTTGATTTGTGTGAGGGCTGTGATACTGCTCGGGTGCCCAAACCGAAGCAGGTGGTTTTCTTAGGGGGCGACACCCCGAGCCTTTGACCTGGACGTCTGACCCACAAGGCAGTGGAGCATCGTGAGGAGATGCAGTCCCATGGTAGCCGGTGACCAACGATTGGTTCATACGCCATTTGTTCCTTCAGGATACTGGAGCCAGCCCATGTGCACCATTGGTTTGGGATCCGGTTATAGCGCCAGACATTCGCTTTTCGTCCTCTCATTTTTTGTAAACAACACCCCCGCCACGAGAAGGCAGTGAGTAGGACTTCCCTGACAGAGGCTATATACGCATGGCCATGTGAGAGCATTTCGAGAGTTTCATTTCTAAGATTATCTTTATCTAAGATTTGTATTATTGTGGATTGTATTGTTTAATATGTGTATATGATTTATATGCTCTTGCTAAATCATCAGCTCACTTTTTATTTTACCATGTTGTACAAAGAAGTGAATAATGCGATAGTATTTGAAGCGAACGGTACTAGATTTGAGTCGTAGAGTGAATATCAACTCTGGACGTAATTTCATCGGACTGGTCTCAATCACTGATTGTACCAGTCTATAAGAAAGGATAAAAGTCTTCTTGTATCTAAAATATTAGCTTCAATAATACTTCGACGCCTAACTAAAGCGTCGTGAAGAACAGATTAGAAAAAACCAGGCTGGTTTTCGACCTGGACGTGGTTGTATAGATGAAATATTTACACTACGTCAGGTCCTAGAACATAGACACACATTCAGACGCCCCACAATGATAGTATTTCTCGACCTTAAGGCTGCATTTGACTCTGTTGATCGTGACGTCCTATGGCAGTGTTTCTCTTTGAAAGAAGTACATTAACCTTATAAAGGCTCTCTACTGGAACACAACTGGTAGGGTGAGAGCTTATGGCGAACTGACATCAGAAATGATTATCTCAAGTGGTGTTCATCAGTTCTGTCCACTCTCTCCATTCTTGTTTAACTTTATCATTGACGTGCTTTTAGAGATAACACTTTCCACATCTGACTTTGTAGGGCTTGAACTTCTACCGGGAAATTCACTTATTGACTTAGAATATGCCGATGACATAGTTCTATTTGGTGAAGACACTGACAAAATGCAGAGTCTGCTGACCACTCTAAGCAACAATGCAGGCATGTTCGGGATGCGATTCTCTCCCTCGAAATGCAAAATGTTGCTTCAGGATTGGGTTGCATCGACGCCCGAACTAGTGATAGGGAGTGAAGTAGTTAAGCGTGTCAACCGCTTCACTTGGAAGTCTCATCAGCCCTTGTAGTCTGATGTGTGATGAAATCTCAGCACGGATACAGAAAGCTCGACTAGCTTTTGCCAACTTGCGTCATTTGTGGCGTAGGCGAGTTATCCGTCTATCAACCAAAGGACGTGTTTACCGCGCAGCAGTTTGTTCCGTCCTACTTTATGGGTGTGAAAGAGTTGAGAATATTTGTAGGTTACTGGTATTCAATCATAGGTGTCTTCGAAACATTACTCCTATATACTGGGACTACCGGATAAGTAACTCAGCTGTTATGAAGCGGGTACTAGGTAAGGATGGAAAATCAATTGATGAAGTAGTGAAAGAAATCTAGGCGTGGCCAGAACAAAACATGGCATAAATCCATGAAGTCACTGACAAGTGGACTGAACCATGTTGGTAGGTGTACATTACCTGTTTGCGATCCGCGAGACGATAGCAATCGATTGTTTGCAATGGCTCATGTGCATCGACTCTTTCTGTTCTCCCACATTCTAATCTTCTGAATTCTTCATGTCTCCTTTTTTCTCTTTCCAAATTTATTTCACAGTAGAATACTCCTTGAATAATAACTTCAAACCCTAATCTTTCGAATTACTGCTTATACTTTGACTACCTGTATCACTATGAGATTTGAATCGACAACTACATTTCTGTGCTAATGTGGTATAACAACTCGAACTGATGTACGTAAGTACGAAGTTCTATGTTGTTACTGACTGACTAACTGACTTAATACCGAATTATACCAATCTGATTGTTAATCCGACTGTAAACAATTCATCTAAACACATGATGTATTCTGAAATGATTATATTTTATTTGATGGAACCAAATAAATCCATATCATCAGAATACGAAGTTTGAATTGATCAGTTTGAATTCATAAGTCAATTGAAACTTGAACACCATGGAAAAATCCTAGAAACATTATTTAATAGCTGTTTCGTCCCAATGTTAGGACTCTTCAGCAGTGTACATCCACGATCTTGTCTCGTCAATTTCCAACCTATATTAATCATATTAATTAATGTTTTCTATTTCATTTCATATGAGACAATTTAATATTCTTGTTTTTGTTAAAGTGAATATCGTTTATATCCATTGACAGGTAGTGATTTCAAACAACAATCAATAATAAGAAAATGGAAAGATAATAATAGTAAGCTATTAGTATAATCAGTTACTAGAATATAAAAGGTTAAAGAATTTCTGTCCTTTTTTTGTGTGTTTCATGTTTGTTGTTATCACATTTAAGTACTTAGTTACACTTGTGACCCCTTTCGTGTAAGAGTACAGGCTGCTCATCCATATTCTTTATCCAACTCTGTCTTGATCAACTGTTTCCTTCTGTTTCTTCTGATGGTTAACTAGATTATGAAGAAGACCTTGATATCTGAGCAAATATTTTTATATTTACTGTAATCTTAAAACAGTTTGTTTAACGTAACCAATATGATGTATGTATTCACAATTGATTGATCACTGGGTGATGATTAATGTCATGTATGTCTGTTTGTTATTAGTGCAGATCGAATCCTATCGACCATGTTGTAATGTGACCACTAGTCTTACTGACTCAATATTACGTGTATTATGTTGAGATAAGATGGTGTTTAGTCAACAGAACCTGACATATACGATATTGATCATCACCCAGTGATCAATCAATTGTGAATACATCTCAGTCCTACAGGAAATCAATCATGGTTTGGATAACTCAGTGATAACATCTCTGACTGTGAAGCTGGTTGACATTGAATCGAATTCGTCAGAGAGTATCAGTTCCCTTAAGAATAATACAGGTACATCTTGCTGATGAATAGCGAATAGAACGGAACTTTGGTCCATAGGTTTCCTGTTGATTACCTCCAACCACCATCTTATCAAAGATGAATACAAAGTTTATATTTTCAATACCTAATTTAAATAATAATTATAATCACTTGGTGTTGTTTTACTTGTATCTTTCTATTGTTATTTAAGATTGTAGTTGATCAAGTACATAACACCAAATGAATATAACTTTACTTTATAGTACAAGCACGTGGGTATCAGGACTCAGTAGCTAAGTGAATAACACGATGGTGTTGAAAGGTGAAAGTATTGAGTTTATGTCCCAGAGTGAATATCAACTCTAAGATCCAGGTATATCCAGTTGATGAGTTCTAAATAGGACGAAACACGAGTCCTAGATTTCATTGCTAGTTACTATTCTCTTTATTTACAATACTTATGGTCATTCGAATGTTCTACTATATTATTTTTAGATGATATAGAAAAGATAATAAAACAATTTGATAATGCTGAAGAACAAATAAAGAGTTTTATAGGTAAGTTTTATGGGTGTTTAAGTTACTAGAATTCTTTAAGTTTTGTTAAGAAGCCGTGACCAGTGGAGCTAATCCGTGTCGGATAGAGACAGGTATCTACTTCAGTACAATGGAAGATAGTTGTGCAATTTCGTGAATTGGCTGAAGTTAGATATTAACACCATTGGATGCCGACCAGCTCAGTTGTCTAGTGGTTAAGCGTTCGCACGCAAAACTGAATGCCCTGGGTTCGAGTCCCGCGGGCGGGATCGCGGATGCGCACTGCCGAGGAGACCCATACTAGGACGAAACAGCCTTCCAGTGCCTCCAGGTTTCCAACAATAGTGTAACATCAGTCGGTTCATGATCTCAATTGAAAACTTTATACTAATTACCGTCTACTTAAATATCTGAGCTAATTGTTTCTTCCATTTAGATATTTCATCAAGTTGTCTGATTCCTTATTTGTTTTAACATATCATTATTGCCAATTAATTGTATAACCTATTTAGATAAATTTGAGGAAAGTTTACAAGATTTCGCTATACAAGTTAGGAAAGAGCTGAATCAGGGACATCATGGTTACTGACAATATGCCTTGAGAAGAATATACATTATATAGATGTAGATTAAATAGACTACTAACATCTAAACTGACGATCATTCAATATGTTATTAACAGTATCGACTAAGAAGTATGAAATGGAAACTGGCCAGATTATAATTTATAAACGACCTTTTGAACGAATCCCATGTAACTATGAGAATATTAGCCAATCAGTAAACAGTCAGTATAGAGTTAAAAAAAATATTATACAAAATCAAAGAAATAAAGTGAATTCACTAATTATACGTAGTTCTAAAACTTGTCAAGATTACAAAGAGGTTCAAAGGTTTTAAAATCATAATGTATACAGTAGAGGAAATCATTTATACGGCTACAGAATAGTCGACTTCTGGAGATATGACAACATCTCAAAAACTCTTTCAGCCTCAACTATATAGTTTCAATAATGCTTATATGCAGTCCAGTTGTTGAGTACAGAAAATGCCACTTGTGGATAACGACATAATGCACATAATCAAATCTATATAGTTATATGTACACTTTCCAATCATCCGTATATATATTGTAGTACATGGTTGCAGTCAGTGTTACTGGTACTTTTATTATTCAATATCTTAGTTAGGAATTATATATATGGGGTTTTCATCACGAACTGACATCAGCTATAATGACAAAACTCTATTTAACCAAGTGGATCTGTTCTCTTATACCTGATTGATTTATTTACAAATGATCATAGTCTCACCGCTTGATTTATTATAGCCATTCCATTATCCTATTTTGTATAAAATCTCCTTTGAACCGATTTGTACGTTAACAATGTAACACGTGTAATCAGCAATCACTGAAAGGCAAGAAAATTTAAAACCACAACACATACAATATTAACCGAGCACATCACACCAAAGACAGAAGGAGAACACCAAAATGGAAATCACCAGTTATATATTTGAAAATTCAAATTCCAGGCTTATCTACATAAAAGGGGGAATCTAATTTACAAAACAATCTTATGAATCATTCTGTAGATTCAATGCATGCAGCGCTTGTTCTTCATCTTCTTCTAAAGCATTTATTCTTGATCGCTCTGTAATAAAAGGAAAAATAACATCTATTAACAACAATATACATGATAACTTGAATGTCGTTCTAACAATAAACATTGAAGTTGGCGCCATAACCTTGAAATGTTTCAAATGATTTTGATTGGCTCATTCATTTAATTAGAATCTTACCTTAATAATCATATAATTTATTTTAGATAAACTAATGAAGATCGGTGATGAATATAAACAAGTCAATGAATGTATGTAATGTAATTATGATTGAATTATATAATTAAATTTTAATAATTTTAGATGTAAATTGTTTAAATGAATATATAGAAGTTAATAATGAATTAAAACTTATAAAAGGTTAGAAATTAATAAAGATTCATTTAATTATTGTTTGATTATCCACCACTGAAGTAGATGGTTTTTTCTCAAGGGGGGCCACACCCTAAGCATTTAACCTAAAAGTCTAATCCATGCGGTAGTGGAGTAGTGTTCGTAGATTTAGTCCTATGGTTTTCGGTGACAAACGATTAGTTTATACACTATTTGTTCTTCTCATCATTGATATGAAATCAGGATTTTCCAACTTTCCTTGGTAGATCCTCCGTGTCCATCAACCCGATTAAAGCGCCGAATATTCGTTATACGTCCTGTCAATTTCATGAAAAATACCCACGCTATGAGAAGGCAGTGATTAGGATTTTTAAGAGAGTGATTGTATGCACGTGGCCATTTGAGAGCATTTGAAGAAGAAGAGCTAGCTCTACATACTCCCAGTCATACTAGAGTATTTAAAAGCGATCAAGTCTACAAATTCTTATCATATAAGTTAGATATTCCATGTAGACATGAACGTCTACATGTGTTACTGGTGTTTTTATTATCCAGTTCACAATAATTATCATAATTTGTCTTAGTTAAACATTATATATGAGGTTTTCATCACGAACTGACATCAGCTATAATGACCAAACTCTATTTAACCAAGTGGATGATAGAATTTCGGGTCAAAATCTCAGATCTGTTATCTTATACCAGATTGATTCATTCACAAATTATAGTTTCTTCGTTTTATTTGTTATAGCTGTTCAATTATCATATTTTGTATGAAATCTTTTGTGAACCGATTGTACTTTAACATTAAGCACTGAAGTTGGCGCCATGACCTTGAAATCTTTGAAACGCTTCTGATTGGCTCGTCCAACTGAATAAGTACTTAGAATCTACGATTATTATTCTAATGTCATTTAAGAGATATTCGTTATATCATTGTTATTGTGAATTTGTAAAATATCTTAGAATTTGTGAAAACAATAGAATCTCAAGAGAATACATATCGTGAGTGCTATTGTAAATATTTTATGTTTATTATTTGAATACAAAGGGGGCACCAAGAAGATATACGTCACATAAATCATCCAATTTGTGTAAGAGCTGTGATAATCCCCGCGTGCCTAAGCCGAAGTAGGTGGTTTTCATAAGGAGCCACAATTGGAGTCTTCAATCCAAAGATCTGATCCACAAGACAGTGGATCAACGTCAGGAGATGCATACCCATGGTAGCCGATCATCAATAATTGGTTCATGCATTATTTGTTTCCTCAGGATAACGGAGCCCATGAACCCCTATTGGTTTGGAATCACGGTTATCCAACTCCCCCTGGTGAATCTTCCATATACATCAACCCGTTTTTATGCGTCTTACATTCGTATTTTGTCCTCTCAATTTCGTAAACAACAGTAATACCACAAGAAGGCAGTGAGTAGGACTTTTGTGGTAGTGGTGTTATGCACGTGGCCATGTGCTAGATTTGGAGAGGAACAGTTGACGCTTCCCACTCTCAGCCGTACAAGAGCATTTGGTATAGATGGGTTGTTGTGATATTTGGATCTGATAAGTTAGAAAGTTGAGTTTAGATAAACAATCAATGAATAACGGGTTACACTAGAATGAAATAATGACTTATTAAAATTAATAGATCATAATTGAAGAATATTCATAATTGATTAAATAGAAACTTATCACAAGTTGTGAGATCGATGACTGGTGAGGTCAATGTTACACAATCTAAGAAAATCCTATACAATATCGACAGGTTAAAAATGATGAATTCATGAAATAAACTTTAGTGTGGGTTACTTATATCCACATAAGTAGTATATAACAGTGATCAGGTATAGAATATATATTACAGTAGAAGATTGATAAGGAAAGAACCGGTACGGAGCGCAACACAATTAGCATGAAAATAAATGAACTATAAAATCTGAGACAATGCACTGATATCTTCAGAAGAAACAGTCAAGATTCAGACAATGGATCAATATTTTGCAAATTAACTAGTTACGGTATGGTTCTCAGATTTCAGTAAGAAGTTCTATACATTCAGCTATTCCCAATCATATTCTTGTTTACTATAAAACAACATAAAGTTTTATTTAACTATTGTAATGGGAAATACTGAATAGATGTTTATTACAGTACATTCTATTATATAAAATACTGTCCAATATGTAACAGATGGCCTTGAATTACGTAATATTGGTTTCATCTACAATACACAGAAATATATCTCAATGAATCGAAGACAATGAAAGACTGTTTCAAGAGTCAAGCATCGATTATTCAACGTAAGATTTGATGTTGATATACTTTTGTTTAACTAAATTCTTCTGATATCCATATTATTATTATTGTTATCAAAAAGAGGTTTTGTAAAGATAGTATATTTGAACTCATGAGTCAATTAAAGTTAGATTAAGCATGGAAAACTTGGAAGCACTGGACGGCCGTTTCGTCCTAGTGTGGCACTACTCAGCAATGCGCATCCACAACCCCGCTGGATTCGAACCCAGGGCCTGTCAGTCTCGCACAACGTGCTTAACCAACTAGACCACTGAGCCGGTATCTGTGGTAGTCTAGCTTGAATCGACTCATGATCTCAATTGTTGAAATTACAGAATATATCGTCTATTCTTTGACAATTACATGTGTTCCTTGGATCTGAGTAGGAACGTGAACGATACATCTGTTCTTTCTACAGTCAGGTAGATTTGTATCATAAAATAATTGAGCAAGATATATCTATTCAACAGTCAACAAAGAACTTCTATGAAACTAATATCTTCGAAACTGGAACACATATTATACAGATATCAGTGGTAATGGCTCTTATCAGATTAGATTGATTTATGAACTTTCAAATCTCCACGATAGATTGACAATTGACGAATGAATAATATATAATGATCCATATAGAACTTCATAATGTTTTATTATTTCATTATTTTTCCAAATGAACAGAGAGGATAACGGATTATCCAGAGGAGAAATGTCTTGAATTTATACCACACAATGATAAAAGTAATGTTTACATAATAATTCATATAACCCCATACTATTTCACATATCTGAATACTTTTATAGTTGAATTCATGATTGAATTGAAGCTAGAATATAATGGAAAACCTGTAAGCAATGGACGACTGTTTTGTCTTAGTATGAGAGTCATCAGCAATGTGGACTCACGATCATGCTTCGCGTGATTCAAACTCAAGGTCAATCGATCTCGCGAGCAAACGCTTAACCTCTAGATTACTGAGCCGGCCAGCATCCAACGGTGTTAATGTCTAACTTCAACTAATCCACGAAATTGAGCCACTGTTCACCATTGTTTTCAATGAGTTAATATCTCACAACAGACCTAGTTGAACTCCACTAGTCACTGGTTCACATTAGAACTTCTACAAACACCTTTAGAAGTCAGTCACTAGTGAGCATATGATTATGATCAAAAGTAGATTTTGTGAAGAGTTTTAATAATTTTATAGTTGAATTCGTAATTCATTTGAAGCTTGACCAACACCGACAACATGGAAGCATTAGACAGCCGTTCCGTCCTAGTAATGGACTCCTGAACAATGCCAATCTATGATCTCGTCTAGCGAAATTCGAACTCAGAATCTATGAGTTTCGCGCGCGAATGCTTAATCTCTAGAGCATTGATCCAGCATCCAATGTGTAACTTCAACCAATCCACGAAGTAAAGCCACCGTCCATCATTGTCTTCAATGAGTTACTATCTCAATACGTTGAGAACGGTCAACTGTATTTCTTAGTTATTGATAAACAAATATGTTAGAAAAATTTAACATTTAAATTTCATATAAATTATATCATCTTCCTTTCATTCATTAAAGACACAATATGCTATTCATTATTGACATATTCCAATGATTAGGTTTCTTTAGCTACGATGTTATACATTATGAACTAAACTTATTAACCAGTTACAAGACTTAATATATTACTGATGAGACTATAATTTAATGGACGAAACAGTCAGGTATAAGATAAAAGATCTCGGATTTTGGCGCGAAATTCACTTATCTATAATGGCTAAATAGAGTTTTGGCATAATAACTTATATTGGTTCGTGATGAAAACTCTACATCTAATTCTTAACCATAATCATCAACTGTAAAACATAATTCTAATTCCTTACACACAAGTGTATAACCCTTATTTAGTCCCAGTTATTTGGTGGACACTCTTAAAGTCAGTCTAGCGTCACTCGAAGATCATCCATAAATTATAATCTCTTCACAATACTTATGTGTTATGATTTACAAATGAGAGAAATGACGATCCCATAACCGATCCTTATGATCTCTGTGTAAACATCTGAAATATTTTAACTACCCTTAACTCAGGGTCTGAAAAGTCGGAGAAATGAAAATTTCGCAAATGAAATGAAAATAATCTTGGTGGTGTTGTAATAGTATTCCGACAGCAGACAATTGGTTTTAAGCGTTCTCCAAGCCCTAACGCTTCAGGCTGGGCTATTTTGTTTACTACCCTACATATGTGTTGTATACAGTATAAGCTATATTTCTATGCTACATGGAAGCTTGACATTGGTATTGTGGATGGTTCAGCATTACTTTGGCAAGTTTTACTGAATGTTCATGTACAAAAATGGTTTGCTCGTTAACCGATTTCATTCATACTGATTGTTGCCTTTCAGTATTCTTAAGGGCCATTGTCGTTGCTAACATTAATGAGTTTGATTGTCGTGTAAGCGGAATAAGTCAACTTTGGCCTCTTCATTCTATACATGATTGATTTACACGATCATTGACGTGAATGTGTATATGAATCATGAGAATGGTCAATTACGGTACTTGGTACCTGTATAGTTACGCCACAGGATTGAGTTGTACTATTCAGATTATAGCGTTAAAGTCTATACGATGTTTGATTCTTTTATTAAACGGGATTAAGCTGTACTGTTTAGGTTGTCACGTGAAAATCTTCATGATGTCTGGTTCTCTTGAAAACAAATGTAAAATTATCCTAACTCACAAGGTTATATTACATAACTTGTGTAACTATGGTAACTAATCAATCAATCAATCAATCAATCAATATAAATTGTAAAATATAATGTATACTGTTTTTATTTTATATAGATGAAGTTATAAATTTTGGTGATAGCGGGTATTTAAATAGTTTAATTGATTCAAGAGTATCTAATATTTATTGGATAAATTATTTTTCATGTAAGTTACATTCAATCTCTATGATAGTTATCATGTTATTGTTAACGATAGTAGATTAATTGAGAAATAATCAATAATTTAGATTGACCGATCTATGATGTATCTAAGGAGGATTGTCTTGTTATTAGCCATTATGATATAAATCGATATCGAATAATTGAAATGTGGTTAACAATGAAATCAAGGACAGGCATTCTGATTTATTTGAGACTCAAGAATATAGAACATACATTCAACGAATGAGTTCAAAATTAGAACTAAATGTAAATCTTCTATTCTTTTTGCTTTTGCTTATGCTATAGGCCAACAATAAGTACTTTTCATCCAACTCTGTTCTGAACAATCCTTTTCAGTTCTTTCTATTTCTAATTCATTCTTTTCATATCCGCTTTTCCACTTCCTTTCAAGATGCCAAGTTAGGTCTTGGCTAATGATATAGTTTGGTGACTCCTTCAATGTGTGTCCTATCGGCTTCCAACGTCTTTTCTTAAGTTTCTCCTCAGATGAAAGCTAGTTTTCTATCTCCCACAGTAGGCTGTATCTAATGGTATCCGCTCAACTGACATTTAATATCTTTCATAGACAACTGTTTATAAATACTTCCACATCTCTCAGAATTTCTCCATCAAATGTGATTGGATTGGCGTTTTATGTGTTATATTTGAGGATCTTCCTTTTTACATTGTGTATGTTGAGGCCTACTGATGCAGAGGCTACTGCTACACTAGTTGTCTTCATCTGCATTTGTTCGTGTGTATGGAATAGAAAGGTTAGGTCATCTTCGAAGTCCAAATCTTCTAATTAATTCCTAGCTGTCCATTAAATTCCGTGCCTTCCCTCAGATATGGAGGCTTTCCAGTCGACGACCACCAGAAGAAAGAGGAAGGGGGAGTGTAGACAGACTTGTCTGACTCCGGTCGTTACCTGGAATGCATCTGTCAGCTGTCGTCCATGAACGACTTTGCACTGTCCATCGTATAAGTTCCGGATTATGTTGACAATCTTTTCAGGAACTCCGTAGTGTCGAAGAAATTTCCGTAATGTTGTCCTAGCTAAACTATCAAATGCCTTCTCATTTTCAATGAAGTTGATGTATAGTAACGAGTTCCATTCGATTAATTGTTCAACAATAATCCGTTGTGTCACCATTTGGCCTGTGCACAACCAATCCTTACAGAATTTGGCCTGTTGATCTCGAAGCTGAATGTCTTCTGAGTTTTTCATCCGGTTCAGCAACACTCTGTTGAAAATGTTTTCAGGTACTGACAGTAATATGATTCCTCTGTAGTTTTTACATTTGCCCAGATCTCCTTTCTCTGGTATATTGTTGAGCTGTCCTTCTTTCCAATCTGTCATTACTTGTTCTGCCTTCTAAATCTTCTTCAATAGAAGGTAAAGCATGTTTGCAGTGACTTAAACGTCTGAAGTCAGTGGTTCAACTGGTATACTGTCAGGTCCTGCTATTTTCTCATTCTTGATTTATCTGATGACCATCGTGATTTCTTTGATCGTTAGTAGAGTGACATCCCGTATTCTACTATTAGGCATATTTAATCTATTCTACATCATATTATGCATTGATTAAATGTACTACAATTTAACATGTATCTTGTACATCTTTTTAGTTGAAAACAAATATCTAGCAGTAATTGCTAAGGAACTATCATATCAATCTACTACTTGTAAGTAACCATTTGACAGCAATCCATGTGTATACATCACAGTAAAAGTTATAAAGCGTTTAGGGTATAACGAGAAACCAAATATTTTCAATGTAATCAAGTATTTGCTTAAGTTATTATTATATGCAAATAAATTAATGAGTTTGTAATCATTAAAGCAACTACGTTTGGAGCCCCTCGAAAGGGTACTGCCGGTCCCAAACCCGGATAAAGAAGGAGAGTTGGACATAGAGTTAGCGACCCCATCTTGTTGAAAACTAACCCACTAAAAAGAACGCTAACCGGCAATCGTTAAGGCACTTGAACGAAATCATACTATATTCGACTATTATGCTGTATAGTTGAATTCATGAGTCAATTAAAGCTAGAAGATTATTGAAAACCTGAAAGCACTGAACGACCGTTCCGTCGAATGACCATTAGCGTTCAACTAGGTCTGTTGTGAGATAGTAACTCACTGAAGAAAATGGTAGACAATGGCGCAATTTCGTGGATTATTTGAAGTTAGACATTCACACTATTAGATGTCAACTCAATGGTTTAAAGATTTAGATTTCGTGCGTGAGACCGATAGGTCCTGGGTTAGAATCGTGGATGTGTATTGCTGAAGAGTACCGTACTAGGACGAAACGGATTTTGCGATTTCCAAATTTCTGTAACATTATTCTTCCTTCCAGTTGAGACTGAAACACAAAAACCGGAAAATCTGTTGGAAATATCAACAACAACAACAACAACAACACTCATTCCATCGATTACAACCGAACAAATGCTAACACAAAAGGCAAAACTTACAGCCGAAGGTGAGTCACATCAGTGTTCTCGTTGACTGGTTTATCATATTTATACTCAAACAGATTACTTTTTTATTACATTCTACATACTGACATTTATATAGACTTACATTTATAAGTACCCAGTAATTCGTCTAGTTCTCTGAATCCCTACTAATCAACCTCATGAGTTCGGTAACATCTATCTGTGTAATAATAGTGTCATGATTACTGAATTCTATCCAAACTAATCAAAGTGGTGTGAATAACTTGTCATACATACCATTATTATCCATCCATACTGAATTGGATTACTCAAATCTAACTGTTCCTTTTGAAATATATCAGTCAAACGTCTTCAAACTTCAATATTTTTGCATTTTCATACCAATTGCTTACTGTTCCTGTTCTTTCCTTCACAATCTACTTGACTTTCTTCTGCCAAACATTTTATTCCTGACGAGCGTTATATTACTACTTATGTCGATATAAGTAGCAATCATCACACCAACTAATATCTCAGTTCCAAGCCCATAATGGCATCCTGAGAAAAGTACCCTTCCTCCTATTCTGGTTGGCACTGATACCAAATGTAGTGAATGATTGATTTATACATATACATATCATTCTTTGTTTCAGCTATCAATGGTAATACTCTAAATAAAAAACATAATAATGAAATTAATACAGTACAGAATGAAACTATGAAAAATCATACACAGTTTTCAATCATTGAAAATTCATCATTTGAAGGTTAGTTTTATCGTTTTCAAACAACCATTGTGTTATGTTTATATAACTTCTTATAGAAATGTTGAAATCTTAAACAAAGTTAAGTTAGATCATTTAGTAGCCTGTTGTGTTTGCTTGTGGTGGCGGGATCACCATTTTAGTGGCCCGTGATCTGACTCCGATTTGATCGTAATGGTTGGTTGCTATCGTCTATCCTCGTATATAATCATTGACTTAAATCGCGTTAGTTAATAACGGAATTAAATAAGTCAAATAATGAGAATGGAACTTTGGATACAATATATTTTGTATAATCGTTGATCAGACAAACGAACGGGGAAATGATGTGAAGATTAGAAAGCGAATCTAAATTGGCGCGCGGTGGAGATGGCTGGTAAGCCAACTCCCCCTTTAACAAAGAGTTAATCAATATTTATAAGCCCACAAAAATAAATTACAAACATGTGATGAGTAACGGGATAAGAAGTGTACATACGCCTACCCGCTCATATAAAGACAGTCAAGACATTGATAAGCGAATAATTAACAAGGTCAGAATGTGACTCAAATAGAATGAATAGAATGAGCTGTCCGAAAGTTAGAATAATGAGGTATTTGGGCTTAACATAATGACAGACACTACAATCATTATTGAAAAACCTAGAAGGACTAGATGATCATTTTTTGTTCTAGTATGAAAATCTAATGAGACTATGATTGATGGATAACCTTTGACCGATATTCAAGTGATCTTATGAGTGACTACTTACTTACTAGAGCTAAATGAAGATTATAAAGCGGTTTGAAGAATAAGGAGTTATGATGATTAGTGAGCTGACATCAGTTATCATGGCAAAATTCACTCTTTTGGTTTCCTTTTCAAGTGTCATCATTGTCAACGATTCTAGTGTGCAAAACATTATTTTAAGTCTATTGAAACCTTACTTTAAACTATACATTGAAGCTTTCAACGTACGTACCCTATGTCAATTCGGTCATCAAGCCTCGTTAGCTAAAACCCCTAGAAAAATAATACTAAAAATGCCATTTATTCAAAAAGGGTGAATGAATTTCGCGCCAAAATCCAAGACATGTCATTATTAATCTAATTGGTTCGTTTATAAATTATAGTCTCGCCGATAATCTTTACCAGTATTGTATTCACTATCTAGTATGTGTGGAGATTGATCATATTAAACTCATACATTATTGAACTAGCTATCTCTATTAGTGTTAATGTGTAGCGTGGAGTCGAGTCACGATTGATTATGAACACCACTACAAGAAGACAACGTGCCAATTAATCAATAAGATCCCTGTAGGTCAATATCAGAAAGCAGATGATAACTGTAGTCAAGATGTATTTGTTGGCGATCTTGTGAGAATTGAAAGAATACCGAGATCGTGCCAAAGGAGCACAATCGTGGTTACTAAGCATAACCGTATTCATACAAATTCGAAGTTTAATGGCTATCATTAGTACAGTTAAACAAACAAGCACAATAAAACCACAGAATCAATCTAGTTCTGTTGACAAAAGTAGATCAATACAAATGTATGACTTTAATGAATCCAATAGCATTATTCGCTTATTAATGACATTGTTAATTATAAAAATTGATTATTTTGTTTTTGTTCTCTTTATTACATTTAGGTAATTTCTATCTAGTCTATTTAGGTATTAGTATACTATTAGTAATATTTAGTATTGGAGTAGTTTATTTATTATGTAACCATTGAAAGATTATTCATTTTTAATGAAAGTAAATTCACATTCATTGATTGATTATTTTATTGATTTTTTATTTATTCAATAAAGTTGTTACTATGGAATTTATGTGATTTATTTTAATTTTTATTGTTTTCTTGTTATTGTAAAATAATGATCGGATAATATTAAGTCAATCTTTTGATCTTTTCAAAACAACTATGTAGACTAATTTATTTTGATAGTTGAATTCATGAAGCAATTTAAGTTAGACTACCATGAAAAGATCTAGAAGCACTAGATGGCTGTTTCATCCTAGTATGAATTTCCTCAACAGTACGTATTCATGATACCGGGTCGCGAGATTCAAATTCAAGACTTTCAGTCTTACACTTGAATATCTAACCTCTAGACCAGTGAGCTAGTCAGAATCCAACGATATTGATGTATAACCCCAACGAATTCATGAAATTGAACCACTGTCCACCATTGTCTCTAGTGAGTGACTATCTCACAAAAGACTCGATTGAATTCCACTAGTTATGGTTTCTCACTAGAATTCCATGAAATACCTTTTGAAGCCAGTCGCTAGTGAGTATGAGATGTTTATTATCAGAAAGGGTTTGGTAGAGATTTTTAGTAAGTTTGTAGTTGAATCAATGAGTCGATTGAAGCTGGGTCACTATGGAAAACCTTGAAGCAATGGACGGCCATTTCGTCCTATTATGGAACTCCTCAAAAGCACTCATCCACGATGCCGAAATAGGATGAAACACAAGTCCTGGATTGCACTGCTAACCATCATCCATCTGTGTTCATTGAGAATATTGATGAAAATGAAATATGTGAAGTATTTATCACATTCTAGTGAATAGAAAATTGAAGTTTCGACGCTTCATGATCACATATCAATTAGTACTTTAGAGAATCAATGATCAAACTGCTCATTTACAAATATTCTTTTATGTATTTATTTTAACACATAAATATTGATACAAAAAGGCACCGAATACATATGCACTACACAAGTCACTTGATTTGTGTATGTGCTGTGATATTACATGGGTGCCGAGACCAAAGCAGATGGTTTTCTTAGGAGGCCATAACCACAGCCTTCAACCTAAAGGTTTGATCTAAAAGGTGATAAAAGCAACGTCAAGAGATGTAGTCCTCTGGTTTGCCGGTGACCAACAATTGATTCATAGATCATTTGTTCCTTCAGGATCCTAAAGTTCATGTGTACAAATATTCTAACTTTCAATAATGTTAGTAACAAGAATATTGATTATTTGTGTTATATCTTCTACTGATTAAGGGCAGTACATAATCTATAACTAATAGCACTCAAACTTGTAGTTTGATGTGTTCTACTGATGTTGATAGATATATAAGTAGTATGTATCATCAATCGAAAGTGAAATATTTGAAAGTGGAAGGTTAAGAAGATCCAAATAAAAGAGAATGAGAACAGAGAATGATTGTTGTGAAAATGAAAAAAAAAACAGTTAAGTTTGCAACAATTGATTGACATTTTGCAAATGAACTATTTACTATATGAGCAAAGATGGATAGTGGCTAGCAGTGGAATCCAGTTTGACGCGCGTTTCGTCCTATTTGGGACTCGTCAGCTGGATGTACCTGCATCTCAGAGTTGATGTTCACTCTGGGACTCGAACCCAGTACCATTCGCTTCAAACGCCATCGCGTTATCCACTTAGCTACTGAGTCCTGATAGTCACTTGCTTGTGCAATGGGGTGAAGTTTAATTCACTTGATATTGAACAATTTCAGTCCTGAACATCAATGAGATGATTCAAATAATACAATATCAAGTAAATTATTTACTCTATGGTTCTTAGATGTTACTAAGACATTTTGTAATTTTATATTCAAATATATTTGATTGTCTCCACTTGTGTTCTCGTTGACTACATTAGAACCCAACAGACACACATCAAAAGTCGGAAGGAACAGTGGAAGTGATTATTGAGTAAGAATCAAAAATGTACTGAAAAAGTTAGGTATTTATAGTTATCAGTATTGACTAGAACATCATTATAACTTAGCCAATTCGCAAGGAGGCAAGTTACGCTGTCTTCTAATTGTACGATGTTGTTTTGATATTTTCAAAGACTCTAACAGGTTCTGATTGGATTATTAACTGGATCTTCGGTTTCCATTGCACGAGATCTTTATGTTGCTGATTCCAGGTCATCATTTTATAGTCACAAAGGTGAGACTATAAATTATGGATAACATTTGAGTGACTCAAATGTGACTTTGAGAATGTTCACCTACTTACCAAAGTTAAATTGGAGTTATAAATCTATATGAAGAAATGAGGATTATGATTGACAATTGATAGTTAGATTTTGAAATTTGATTTAGGGTCTCCATCGCGAACTGACATCAGTTAAAATCGTAAACTACCGTTTAAGTAAATGAATGGATGAATTCCATGCTAATATCCAAGACCTCCATAAATTATAATCTCAACTTTAATGCACAGTCATTGACTTAATGAAAGGAATATTATAATATTGAATGAAATAAACGGAAGTACGGAAGTATTACAATATCAAAATACAAAATAACCAGTCATTTGAAGAATGGGATTTAAATACGTATATACTACTTCACTAATGGACTCTATATCAACTTCATTGACTATGAAAAAGCATTTGATAGCGTGAACAGAACAACCCTATGGAAGCTTCTTCGACACTACGGTGTGCCTCAGAAGATGGTCAATATCATACAGAATTCCTATGATGGATTTAACTGCAAAATCGTGCATGGAGGACAGTTGACAAAGTCGTTCTAAGTAAAAACCGGTGTCAAGAAAGGTTGCTTACTCTCACCCTTCCTCTTTCTCCTGGTGATCGACTGGATCATGAAGGCGTCAACATCTGAATGGAAGCACGGGATACAGTGGACAGCTAGGATGCAGTTGGATGATTTAGACTTCGCAGATGATCTGGCTCTTCTATCGCACACGCAACAACAAATGCAGGAGAAGACGACCAGTGTAGCTGCAGCCTCAGCAGCAATAGGTCTCAATATACACAAAGGGAAAAGCAAGATTCTTCGATACAACACAGCATGTAACAATCCAATCACAATTGACGGAGAAAATTTGAAAAATGTACAAACCTTTACATATCTGAGCAGTATCATCGATGAACGCGGTGGATCTGATGCAGATGTGAAGGCACGTATTGGCAAAGTAAGAGCAGCATATTTACAACTGAAGAACATCTGGAACTCAAAACAATCGGCAACCAACACCAAGGTCAGAATTTTCAATACAAATGTCAAGACAGTTTTAATGTATGGGATGGAAATCTGGAGAAAAACGAAAGCCATCATTCAGAAGATGCAGGTGTTTTTTAACAGTTGTCTACACAAAATACTTCGGATCCGTTGGTCAAACACTATTAGCAACAACCTACTGTGGTAGAGAACAAACTAAATCCCAGCGGAGGAAGAAATCTGGAAGAAGTGCTGTAAGTGGATAGGACACACATTGAGGAAAGTACCCAACTGCGTCACAAGACAAGCCCTCACTTGGAATCCCCAAAGCCAAAGGAAATGAGGAATACTAAAGAACACATTACGCCAGGAAATGGGGATAGACATGAGAAAAATGAACAAGAACTGGATGGAACTAGAAAAGAAGGCCCAGAACAGAGTGAGTGTGTTGGAGAATGCTGGTCAGTGGCCTATGCTTCATTAGGAGTAACAGGCGTATGTAAGTAACTAAGTGATTTCACTAATGTATAACGTTTCAAGCCTTCACACTTATTCATAAAGTGTATGAAACATTCTTGAAAGTATTATTCATAAGGTTCTAATCATAATCGACTTAACTTAGACTAAGTTCTTATTCAAGATGTTAGATCCCCCAGAACTCACATGGTGAATACTTTAATTTTGTAATTTTATTTTGAAATTTTAAATTTCTTTTTTTTCGCGCCAAAAGTACTCTTTTCACCTTCATATCATATTTCCCATTTTGGGAGAATCTTAAACGTGATTGATCCATTGTATCATTTAGTATGCTATTTTGTAATTCTTCTCAAGGACAGTTTTATGCTGTATATGTATATGTATACGTTTGATTTGTATCTGTTGTGATCGCTCATATTTCTGATGTTTTATGGAATATACTTCCACGTTCAAACTTCGACTTCTCTCTCCTCTCTCTCTGAAGTTAGCGGAGCTGGGATACATCAGAATATCTAGCTTATTGATCATTAGTCAAAGAGTCTTTGTTCCATTCATAGACCAAAATGAACTCGTTATCACTTCAAACATAACAGTTTTTAATGAAATACTTTTTGACTATTTTTTTCATCATTCATTTGTTTATAATTATTTGACAATTTAACTTGAATGAAACGAATGGTACATGGTTCGAAATCCAGAGTAAACATCAACCCTAAGATACAGGTACATTTAGCTGACAAGTCCCAAATAGGATGAAACACGAGTCAAACTGGATTCCACTACTAGCCATTATCTATCATTGCTTACATTACAAAAAGCTTGTGAATTAAGGTTATATCGAGGCAATATGTATTCTGGTAGAGAATCCCCAGTAATTCAGTAATCGATGAGAGAGACGGACCTGTAAGAGTGAATTATTTTGATCTTGGTCTTAAGACATTCTTAGAACGTCATCTTAGGTGATAGGTCTTAGATGAAAGATAAAGATAAGACATATTATTATCAAGATCATTCTTCAGTATACGATAATCTAATGTTAGATAGATCAGCAACTTGTAGTAAGATAACGGGAATAAGTTGTGATTCATCAGACTGTTTATATAAGATAGGCCACTGAGAGATTTCAACATTTTATTCCTTAGTTGTTAAATGATTTCTAGCATATTCGATTCATACTTGAAACAATAGCTCGTTGCTTGAATCCCATATTCGAAATTTGGCCTTACAAATGACGGGTATAATACCCCAAACATTTCTTTTTCTAAGAAATGCAATGACTTAAGAATAGTTCACAAGATCCATGAGCCTATAGCAACAGTAGATCAGAAGTTATTTGTAGCTACAAGACGTTATTTATTAAGACTCATACACCTTTATAGTCCGTTACTGTAGATAACAACTTACTGTGTAGTTGTAGTTATTTATGTACACCACCACACTCTTGCTAGAATTAACTTCTGATGATAATCAAAGCATCCATTCAATCAGCGAATTTATGAAGTCCAATAATATTGTTCCATCTGTCATACAACCTATGGGTTTCTTAATCTTGATTTCATCGGCAAAGAGTAGAACAGATATCTTTGCTACAGTTATAAATCATTTACACTGTAATAAAAGATTTGCCAAGGTTTGCATCTAAGAGAACTTCACTTTCACAGGTCCTTATGTTGATAAGGCTTTATTATCCCTTACCTGTTGTCTCTTACTATTGGGAAAATCAGTTATCCATTTTCCAATAACATAAGGGATTTCGAAACTTTACAGTGTGAGGCTTTGACCCAGGTGAAAAACTCTGTCAACAAGCTGTACTTTGATCTAAGGATTTTCCATCTGCTCGAATATAACTATCTTTGGTTGCAGTCTAATCTTCTTTTGGAATGAGAAGATTTGTCAAGCATGAAAGACCTTTTCTTAAACCATATTATTCTCTAGCCAAAATATTATCCCTTTTCCACATAGGTTAGAATAGCCATCTAAATGACATTTTCCATTAATTTGATGACTGACGGGTTGCTGTTTCATCACACTCCTGTTTGTATGTTATACTTGCACGTCGAACC